CTCAGCATGGGGCAAAAGACCCTCCCCATCCCACTGCCAGTGCTTCCAGGTGTAGCTGACCAGAGCCGGCACCAAGCTGCCTTGTGTCTCCACCACATCACCGCCACCTCTGGGCTGCAGCAGTGGCAGCAGAGCAGACACAGGGCAGCCCGGTGCTGGCTCCGGGTGGCTGCAGCAGATGCTGGCAGTGGGTGGGAAGCGTCCACTTTTGCCCTGAGTCAGCTTCAGGCTCTCTTGCCTGGGCTGAGCAGTGGCGGCAGGAAGAGAAACAGCTGCTCAGCGCAGGGCAAAAGCAGCCCCTCCCCCTCCGCTGCCAGTGTCTGCTGCAGCAACCCAGCACAGGTTGTCCTGTGTCTGCTCTGCTGCCACGGCTGCCCCATAGGGCAGCCCAGAGGCAGCTGTGATGGGGTGGAGAAACAAGGCGGCCCAGTGCTAGCTCTGGGCGGCTGTACCTGGAAGCACTATTCATATCCCCGGCCGGCCGCTGGAGCATCCAGAGGGGAGGGCAGACCCTGCTGCCAGTAGGGGTAGAGGGGAGATTAACTCCCCTCCCTGCCCGCTCTGCCTTAGGGGCCATGGTGCCCACTGCTGCCCCTGCTCCGGCTGGGAAGCAAAAGGGCAGGGCCATCCCGGCTGGGCTGGAGCAGAGAGCCCAGCCCAGAGAGCATGCCAGGATGCTGGGGGTGTCTGGTTTATCTTAAACCAGAAAGGGCTCTGGGACAGTCAATGCATAAACCGGTTTGAGTCAAATCAGTAAAGTCTGATACTACATTCAACCAGCTTTATCTTAAACTGGTTTTGGCCATTTTGAAACTGGTTTATGTGCACTGAATATCTGTTCTGTATGAGTTTAAACCAGTTTCTGATCACTTAAAGTTGTATATGTGTAATGTCTGGCCCTGGCCCTGGTGTTAAGAATGGATGTGCAGAGAACAGGGCTACTAACAGAAAGGAAAAAGGACATGAACATAAAAAGGATAGGGAAATGGGGAGGAAAGAAGGGAGTACTACTGAGAGGCAAAGCTAAGTCAAGGGATCAAAGGGGATAAAGAAAGTAGTTAACCCTTTTGAGGAACACAGGGTTTATAAAAAACAATCCAGGAAATGGGAGAAGAATCTGTAGTCTTGGTTGAGACCATTCTTAACACAATCCCCAGTCTGTGGAGAATTTCTTGTTCCACAATTTCATGTTTAATCAGTTTTTAAAGGTTTGTTGCTTAAGAACAGCTATTCTGATGTCAGTGATGGGATGTCCAGGGAAGTTAAAGTGTTCTGTCACAGGCTTTTGCACCTTTCTGGAACTGATATCAAATTGGTATCCATTAATGTTCTTTCACATAGGGATTGCCAAGAGCAGTTGAAGCTCGGATGTCATCCATGTTATTTGGTCCTCTCTAAACAAGGGAGTCTGTGAAGTGCCACACTGTCCTGCCTTTTCTAAAAAAGAGAACTCAAGGGAAGGGGAGGATTGATAACATTTTCCTATGGTAGAATTGATAGCACTGAGGTTTCACCATAATCTTTTGGGGTAGGTGGACCATAATGGGCAGAGTATGTATACTGCAGTGCATTCAAGAATATGCAATAGTGCTTAAGGGGTGCCCTGCACTGCATGAGATGCATGCATCATAGAGCATGCAGCACGTGCACCAAAATGTATGGAATGTGTGCACTATAGAGGGCAAGGTGTGTGCATTGTAATGCATGGTACTGTGCACTTAGTATTGATTGTATGTGCCGTAATAAATTAGCATGTGTACCATAAGGTACTGAGTGCATGCACTGCAGTTTGCTGTCCATACACTATAATACGTGTAGTGTGTGGATAAAAGCGTGAAATTAAGCACTATAATGTATGAAGCAAGTGCACAGTATTGAACAAGGTGAGGATGCCATGGAGCTAGGGATTGTGTGCCCTGCCTATTTTTGGTTCCGATATGTAATAAGATGCATGCTAATCTCATTATTTTTACTATCTATAGTTTACTAACATGTAGCTACCCCAAAAAACTTTGTTCTGGCCCTGAAGGGCATGCCATCTAAAAGGCATAGGACACAAGGGGTCTCTCTGGGGCTCCTGCAGTAGACTGTCAGTGAGTACTCTCCTGTGCGCTCTGGCTCTGCTCTCCCTGTTGAAAGCAGGATAGGTACAGAGAGGCATGGAGCCTCTGGTCTCTCATAATCCTGGGAGGGGAGCAAGCAGGCAGGGGCAACATGCTCTGGGACGGTGGAACTCCCAGGAGAATGCTCAGAGACAGCCTGCCACAATCTCCCACCAGGGAATGCATGGGAGAGGGAGAGCAGAGCACTGTGGGATGCTGTACTGTTTTCCATAGTGTCCATGAGTAACAGCAAGTGCTTTATTTTTAAACGTTTCTAATAGTAGTTGTTTCCTACAGGGTTATTTTGGAAGTACTTCATCCATTTTAGGGTGCTTCAAAGGGTGTGTACATCTTAGATTCATAGATTGTTAGGGGCTGGAAGGGATCTTGTAAATCATCAGGTCCAGTCCCCCCGCTCCACACTCTGGGGGGGAGTTTGTTCACGTAGGCTTTGAAGTGCTTCTAAAATTATTTCTGTCCATCCCCTATGTCATATAAATCTATTGTCTCTGGAGCTTAGACTGAAGGGTAAATGGGACATGAGCAAAGATTGTCAAAAAAATTTTCCATCCAAATGTTTTTTGTCAGTTCAAAATGTGATTTAGTCCAAAGTAGGATGGTTCTAACATGGTGTAAGGTTCCTTCAGGTGTTTTATCAAATTTCCTTCAGAAAAAAAAAGATGATTTTTTTTTTCTCTTTGGAAAACTTTAATTTCAGAAGAAATCCCAAATGCCATTTGTAATTCTGATTTTTTTTAAAGATTAATTCATGAAATTGTAAGTAGTATTGACTGATGTCAACAGCTGAAATATTTTATTTTTTTAAAAAACATCAAGTTACTGCTGTTACAGAACATGGCATCCTTTCTAGCTCAAAGTGTCTCCTGCTAATTGTAAGGAACCAGACTGGTGTTTAAAGCAAAGTATTTGCAGTGGGTGTTGTAATGAAATGTTTCTCAACTTTGATAGACTCAGGGCACCCCTTGTTAAACTGAAGGCACCCCTTTGAAAATGCCAGCTCTTAGCTTTCGCTCATTTTTTGACTATGGAGAAATAATAGAGCAAGTCTTTTGTTGCAAAGAACTCAGAAAGACCCAACAGGTCAGAATGTTTTTGATGTTTGTTATTATTTAGGAATAGCTGTTGAGGATTAAATTCCCACATGACCCTAAGTGAATAAATTTGTAAATGTATATAGCCCTACTTAGCAGCTGACCTTAATGGTCTTTTAACTAAATTAAACCAAACTAAACTAAAATATACACTTTTAAAACTCTCATCATGAAACAACGTAAAAGTAACACAAATTAATAAACAGGAAAAAATGAATAATTCAGCCCAGCAGAGAACTGAACCACACCCTGGGTGAGCATGCTAACCACTTGGCTACAGTACACAGGGGAGAAGACATTTCTATTTTACAAGAAAACACTCCTTGCTTTTGTGTGGACCTTTATCCATAGGGTTGTTCTGAGAATGCCAGCCAGATAAAACCCTTGAAGAGAGGTTGTCAATCATACCTTGTTCTTGGATCCCAACCAGGAGACAGGCAGTGAGCTGCCTGAGTTTTTGTCAAGACTAGACATTCCTGCACATATCTAGAAGCAGAAATGTTTTGTTCCATGGAAACTTTAAGATTAAAAACCAAAGGTACTCTACAGAGATTTGGCAGCAGTTGAGCAGGGGATTAGGCGGTTAATCCTCTCTTTGGACCTTGACCCTACCTTTTATCCAACACTTTTTATTCAAAGAACTCAAAGCATCTTATAAAAGAAGGTCAGTATCACTGTCCTCATTTTGTGAATGGGGAAACTGAGGCATGGGGAGAAGAAGAGACTGGCCTAAATTTCCCAGGAGCTAAAGCAGGAATACAGCCCAAGCCTCCAAAGACCCATTCCAACACACTCACAGACCATGTCTACACAAGCGGCAGACTGTGCAGTTTTTTAGTACTTGCATAACCAAGTACTAAATGACTGCACAATAACAAGCGTTACTATGCAATACCATCCCTGCATGGTTGTTTTCTGATGCTGCTACACAGTAGCAATGAGCTACTGTGCAGTAGCTTGTTACTACTGTGCAGTACCATTGCTAACAAGATTAGTGCCCCCCAATGCTATGGCGCTACTGCACTTTATTGTCTCATGTAGACACACCCACAGTTACCAGGGGACCTGTGGCAAAATCAGAAACTTACCCTGAGGCCCAGTACAGCTCTTCCACAGTGAGACTCCCCCTGCTAACCTTGAGAGGCATGTTTTTTTGCAGTGCTGAGTGTCTCCCCCTTGGCTACTTTTTGGACTAAGCCTTGTTCCCAAATATAAGGAGAAGCCCTGAAAAAGATGTTTTTCTCTGAACAGTTCTGATCGAGAGTGCTGACCCCTGCTGGTGAGGATGGAAATAGAAAAGCACAGGGTGCATAACTGTGCAGTTGTTATTCACGCAGTACTGCGGGTGTTCGTGCTCCCAAAAGGAAACTCTGCAAGAACACCCTGTGCAGTGGTATGCCACCAGTATGAGACGGGGGATGGCCCCTCTGAATAAATGATTGGGTGCAGAAATAAGGAACTGTCAGTGCTAATATTCACCTGAGTGAGAAGTGGCTCTTCCCCAGTGTGAGGCAGATGCTCCTCATATGACCAAGCACTCACCCATGTCAGTTGAGGCCTACTTGAGCAAGTGTGCATTACCCTGCTTGAATCAGGGAGTCCTCATGCAGAGTGAAACATGGGGGCTCCTAGCACCATCCAGTGCACAATAGCATGATAGGCTCTCAACATGAATATGCACTCCCTGGTGACACTGGCACTCCTCATAGGATGAAGAAGCAAGTCCTTAGCATGAATGAGGCTTGCTGCTGCCTGTTCTTGTCTCCTGTGAGTGCACTCACAGCTTCTAGGCATACCTCTGCCAGGCCAGGACCCTGCCCAGGGCATTGCTGAAGTCTTTGTTGCGGAGTGTGTAGATGGCAGGGTAGAGCAGGGGTGTGACATTGATGTAGATGAGAGATACGAGCTTGTCCTGCTCCAGTGAGTGACTGGCTGTGGGCCTGATGTACATGGAGGTGGCACAGCCATAGTGAAGCACAGCGACTGTCAGGTGTGAGGCACAGGTGGAGAAGGCCTTGCGGCGCCCCTCTGCTGAGCAGGACCGAATGACCACCCTCAGGATGTGGCTGTAGGAGACCAGGATGAACAGGAAGGGGAAGATGAGGATGAGGAGACAAGCAACCAGTAGAGCCATCTCATTGAGGAAGTTGTCTCCGCAGGCCAGTGCCAGCACAGCTGGGATATCACAGAAGACATGGTTGACGCACTTGGACTGGCAGAAGGGCAGCTGGAAAACTAGAATTGTCAGCCCCAAGGAGAGTGTGAACCCACCAGCACAGGAGGCCAACAGTAGCTGGACACATGCCCTCCAGCTCATGATAGAGGCATAATGCAGCGGGTGGCAGATGGCAACATAGCGATCATAGGCCATGGCCACCAGCAGGAAGCACTCAGAGCCCCCCAAGGCCACAAAGAAGTACATCTGGGTGGCACATCCCCAAAATGAGATAGCCCTGCTGCCTGGCATCAGGAAACCTGCCAGCATCTTGGGCACAATGACCAGGGTATAACCCACCTCTACTGTGGAAAGGCTGCCCAGGAAGAAATACATTGGGGTGTGGAGAGCCTGGTCTCTCACTGCCAAGGTCACAATAAGCAGGTTCCCTATCAGTGTGACCATGTACATGGGACAGAAAAGGGCAAAGAAGAAGAGTCGTAGCGGGTGTGCAGTATTAGAGAAGCCAATGATGAAGAACCCGGATGACAGGTTCTGGTTCTCCTCTTGATATGTGTTCATGATGTCCTGTTGGTGGAGAGAAAAGGCCGTGAGGACATATCAGCTCCCAGTATTTTTTGTACCAAGATCTACTCCGAAGACCTTGCCCTGTATCTTGTTTCTTCTTTCTTTATGCCTACACGCACATGCACATTCACTCATCCCATAATTTTTCCCACATTTGTTTTTCCCTCTGTCTGTCTGCATGTGACTGATACAGAAGTCAAGGGCCCTGTTACAGATCCAGAGGTCTGTGTTCTCACGCCAGACAGTTAGTGAACGCTGCTGTCCATTTTCTTCCCCCCAGCCCAGGTGTAAATGGGCTCCTATTTACTAAGGCTAGGGAGTCATAGAACCATAGGAAATGAGGGCTAGAAGGGGCCTCAGGAGGTCATCTAGTCCAATCCAAACAACTGCATGGACAGTGCAACAACTAGGTACAAAGCCCCAAAATATCAAGAACACCTTAACTTGCCAGTGGTAAAGAAAAGGCATGAGGGCACCATCAATGTCCCACTACTGCAAAGAGAGGAAATAGTTTGTTTATGACTCATGATAAAGAGGGCGTCTAAACAAGCCAGCTGTAAATGGGTACCTGCCGTGTTCTTGGCTTGTCTTAACAACACTAGGCAGCTCAGGTTTAAGCTGATTTAGGACATGCCTAAATGTTGATAGTATGTCAGTGGCTGAAAATATCAGCTGCCATCTGGGCCCTGATGTGTGAGATATACTGAACGTGCAAAGACTAAGGATCTCTCCACCCTAGGAGTGATTTAATGGTAGAGCTAGGCCAGGACATTATACTGGCAAAGCAGACTTCGTGTGGACTCAGCCACACAGGCAAAGCTGCCCTGTTTACAAGACCATTGTATGCTAGTATAACTCCATCTACATTTGGAGCTTCTCCCCGCACAGATCTGAGAGTCAGGGGTCAGAGCCATCTTTCCCCTGACTCATACTTATACCAGCAGTAGTTTGAGGTAAAGAGGTAGTTCTTGCCCCACATAATCCTAAAGTTACATACAGAGTTTCTGTATGTAAACCCTCACAGACAGCTATAGGATTATCTGGGGTGAATGCTAGTAGTTAATCCATGCCTTCACCGCAGTTCTAACCCAAGTTAGCTAACTGAGAGGTTGGCCAGCTGGAGTTGAAACACTTCTCTATTGCATTGTAGACATAAGAACATAAGAGATGCCATGCAGGGCTAAGCCACAGGTGTATCTGGCCCCCATCTTCTGTGTCTTATAGTGGCACAGAGAAGATGCTAAGGGGAAAAGTGTTTATGCAGGGCCTGTCCAAACTAATCTGTCCCCTGACCCCTTCCCTTACGAATTCCCGAATTTAGAGGCCTAGAAAGTCCTAATCTGGAGGTTGCTCCCATATTTGTTTTCCCCTTCATATCTATCTGCCAGACCCGCCTTGCATGAATTTGTCCAATCCTCTTTGGACCTGATTAATGATCAGCCTCATGGACTTTCACTTTAGCTGCCTTGTGTTCATTGCTATTTTGACCTGAGCACATCCCTTTTTTTGCATGGCAGATGTATGTTATGCCAGTGACCTCTGACCACCGCTGGCATGTGGACAATGGCAGTGAGCAAGTCATGTGATACAGGCAACATCAAACTTTGCTCTCCTTATCAGCCTGAAGAAACATTTCTGTGGAAAGCAAAATTTCCAATGATCATAATCAATGTCAGAGGGTCCTGAAGGCAGGACACGATGCACAAGACAGACTGAGGAACACAATCCTGAACCAAACAAGAGACTGATATTCACCCAACATGTGGAAGTGGAGGTTAAACCTTTTCAAATGACCTGTTTGCTTTATAACAATTAAAAGCATTATCACAGCTGTTCAATCTGTCAAGCACAAGCTTATTACTCTGTACTATATGAAGTGCAAAATAAGACAGGTCCTGTTCAAAAGCAGTCATAGCAGGGGTGGAAAAAATATGGCCCATGGGCTGGATCTGGTCCGCTAGGCAATTTCATCCAGCAGGCACCCCACAATGAATTGCATCTAGCCTGGCCTGTCGCTGCCCCTGCTGCAGTCCACAAGGGGCTGAGGCCTGTCCACTGCTGCTGGGGCAGCACTCTGCACCCCCACCCTCACCCATGGGAGGGCCCCTGCCCTGGCAGCACGCACAGCTTCCAGACAGGGCTGCTGCTTGGCTCCCCCAGCCTCCAGCGGCTCCTCCTCCTGTCCCTGCTGCAGCACTTCAGGTTGGGCGGCAGGGAGTGGGGCTACCCTTGCGGCCCTTGACAGCTACCAAACTCATTAAGCAGCCCTGTAGCCAAAATAATTGCCCACCCCTGAGTCATAGCAACATACACGGGATGGAGGGAATACACAGAGAGCATTGCTACAGCCAAGCATTCCAAAGCATTCCTACCTTTATGTAGGGATTTGAAACATATTGCTTCTGAGGTCCCTTCAACCCAATGTGCATTTTTACACATGCAAGTGCCATAGCGCCAAGTGCTTTGAAAACCGCCCGACACTGTGACCCTTGCAGTTGTATAAGCAGAGAAATGCACGTCAGCGCTGAGAAAATGGCCACGACGTGCTTTTGAACTAAAACACATCAGAGGTGCTTTAGTTCAAAAGCACAGCACCGCCATTTTCTGTGCACCGATGCGCATTTTGACGCTTATACAACTGCATTCAGTGCAGCGCAGTTCACCTCAGCTCATGTGCAGACTCAAGTGGTGGATCTCCGGCACATCACAGGACAAAAAAGTATGTGTATAAATGCCAAAACCATGGCACTAAGTTTAAAAATGGTGAGAAGGCCTTAAAACTCTTAAGAGCTTTTTAAAAAAATAAGTAGTACAATTTGGGTTCTTTGGGTTATTTGTCTTCTGCTTTCTGGCCCCATGAGGCTCAGGTTTACAAGCTTTTATCCTCATGGCTGAAAGCTAGAGATGTGTTATGTTTGTTGTAAGGAAAGTGATTCTCCCAGAGTCATATGAATCCAGGAACGGTAGTTTTAAGGAGAAACATCAGATACCATGAAGTTTGTGAGAGTTGATAAAACTGCACTGAGGAGCCCAGCGGAAGGAGAGGAGCAGGCAATTGTTTGGTTGTTTTGGTTTGAAGTTACCAACACACATAAACAATCACTCACATATGTCATGATAAATAGAGATGGGTGATGCTGTTGACCCAGGACAAAGTAAGGAGGCAGGCTGAGAGCTACGATCACTTCTTTGTTTATATGTTCACTCATTGAGTCACAGCTTTTTAATCTCCAGGAGAGTCTCCTGTGACCTTCTGTATGGCATTGGCTACCAAATATCACTCAGTGGGCACGTCTACACAAGTCGCTTTATTGCACAATAAACAAATCTAATTCACAGTAAAGTGTCACTGTTTACACACGCCCAGGATTGACTGCACAGTAAATTAGGTTAATGCATCGTTTGCTTGCACCAGGAAATACGGGTAATGGATTAACAGAGCCTTAGTTACAGCGCAGTAGCATGCATATGGATGCTGACCAGGAGTAATTTGCTCCTGGTTAGCCCAGGCAGCAGGGAGCCAACTGCTCCCTCGCTAAGCCCCAATGCGGGAGGAGCTGTGCCAGCTGGAGCAGCAGCTGTCTCCCCACCATGTGGGGATTGGGACTCATCCCGATCTCCACATGGCCAGGAGAGCTGTCCTGGCAGCTAATCCCCACATGTCTGGGAGAGCTGTCTGCACTCAGTGGGGATGCTGCCTGCAAGCCACGTGAAGATTGGGTCCTGACCTGATCTCAATGTGGCCGATCAAGCCATCCCTGCTTGGTGCAAATGCTGCCTGCCAGCCACGTGGGGCTCCCGCTGAGTGGGGACAGCTCTCCTAGCCAAGTGGAGATCAGGTCAGGACCCGATCTCCCCGTGGCTGGCAGGCAGCGTTCCAGATGAGTGGGGATAGCTCTCCCAATCACATGAGGATCTGGACCAACCCCTATGCCCCCTGCCAGCCCCTGGAGCCTGGAGCTCCCCCTCGCTGCTGCACGGGGGGCAGAGCAGGGCAGGAGCAGCCCTGAACTGGGCTTTAACAAGCTGTATTTTCTGCAAAGCATCCAGTGACTCCTACACTGAGCCTACAACTTCTGGTTGAGCTAGCCAGAAGTAGCTTTGCAAACAAAGGCATACCATCTGGATTAAACAGCTCTGGGATATGAGTTAGTCAGAGAGAATTAGAGGTTTGCCCAAACCAAAGTGGCCCATTGGGATAGAGTATTACTGGTATTTCCAGGTTCTGTATCCAGCAACAACTGCCCAGCCTTTGACTCCTTATAGCCTGAAAAACTAGGTCCTCATTTACTACTAAATTGAGTGGAGAAGTAGTCCCTGAAGTTAACTCTCCATATTGCTACATTGAATCTAACTTTAATCAGCAGTCCTGGGATCTCATTTGGCCTTTATTTCCTAAAACAAGCACCCTTTTATTAAGAGCAAGTTATAAACCAAAATCTAGTGGCATCATCATCACCGCCATCATCACCACAGTTTTAATCCACAATATTAGTACTGTATTCATATATTACTGTGATATTATATAATATCTGATATGCTATGATGTTAATAATAATTTAATCTAGTACATACTTGAAGGCAAGAAATGGTGGATATAAAATAGAAGGAGGAAGAATGCTTCACCAATGCACATTTCTTTTCCATCTGATGAGAATATTTAATTGAAAATTAAATAAAGAATGGACTAATGCAATCAGCTATGGAAGAACTGCAAAAAGGCTAGGGCATGAAAAGCCTAATAATAATACTGACTGTGGTGTGTTAGGACCTGATGATGAGGGTATAATAACAGCACTACTGTTCCTAGGGTATAGATAGACCAGCAAGATCAATGGATGATGCAGTATCTAATATAATGTGTTTTTCTGATCAGTGTTGATATGGCTTTGTTGCATTGTTTGTTTACATTTATAGTTATGAAACTAAAAATATTTATTATTGTAAGCTGCTCTGAGCCTTTTTTGGGAGGGCAGCCTTTATACATAATAAATAAATACATTGGAAATGTATCCTATTGTATGACCACTTTTTTTTTTGGAAAGAAGTATTCATGGAAATCTCTAAAATTTTAAGGCAGGCAATAATATTCTGGACTCACTAATGACTTGGTCTAAATTATATCCACTTTAACAACTTTTCCCTCTGAGATCCTGGGTTATAAAGGTAATAATGTTATTATTGTTGTTGTTAATATAATTATTATAATCCACCACTTACGAGCCTGGACCCTATTATGTCTAATTCAGAACAAAAAGATGATCCTTGCCTTAGAGAATCTCTCTAGACTGAACTCCTTAGGTTTCCCATGATAAGGATTTTGCCTAGCCTTCAAAAAATTGTTGTAGTTCTTCTTTGAACTCTTTAGTTTTTCACTGTCTTCTACAACTGGAAGTTGTACTCAGTAATGACCTAACATGCTATACACAGTGGGCTTGTCCAC